TTTGACTTTAAATATGACGAGGTGAACAGGAGGGTTTGAGTATCTGACCACCCAGTCATCCCGTCGAACCGTCGGCCCCTCCCGTAGGGTGAGCTTCCAGGCGATAGGGAGGGCCTCTTTTAGCAGGCCCTCCTTTTCTTCCACATTTTTTATGTGTTTTAGTTTGTGTTGCAGCTGGCTGGGGATTGCCCAGTCCCCTCTCACCGGGTCCCACCAGTCTCCAATCTTGCCCCCAGAAGGGAGGGGTCATATGCCTGCAGCACTGTTCATGATCAACCTTTCCTCGATTCAAAAACGAAAAGACAGAAAGCAAAGGAAAAAAAAGTGTTTCCTCGATTCATGTTGCTTTCTCGTGCTTTCCTCGATTCATGTTGCTTTCTCGTGAAAAATGTACTTCGTATATTACCTGGTGGTCAGTGGTGGATCATGGATGTATATTACCTGGTTCAATAATGGACTACTTTTCCTAGCACGTAAATGCAGGGAATCCTCACTAGCATGGGCTGCAAAAACATCAGGAGGCGCAAAAGCTAACAAAAAATCTCCTCCTTCTCTTTTTCTTGTAAATAACAAGCTTTGGGTCACCCTAGCCCATCGAGTGCTCTACACCTCGCTATGAAGATCGAAGACTAAGCGGTGAGGCGATCGTGAGAGCTTCTGCTCTTCAAACAGCAAAAAACAGCAACCAACAAACCCTCTGGAAGACTTCATCAGATCCAATGGATCCACATGACATTCTATTCTGAGGAAGACGGTTGGCGCTAGGAGGAGGGCACGTGGATATCGTGCCGGGGGCCCAGGGATTGTCTTTGCACATTGACTTACCGTGACGGCACGGGTGCGTAGCCCGTAGTTTGTTTGTTGATGTGGTTGTGAAGGGTAAGGTAGTGATTATGCTGTGTGTATGTTTTGCCATGTTCGCTATACACAACTCGAAGAATGTGTGTGTGTGCGGGTCCTGTCTGGTGCTTTATGCACGATGATCATGGGACGCTGGACCCAGTTACCAGCAGGTGCCGCTCCCCACCAATACGCAGGAGAATGTGTGTGTCCGTATGTGTGTGTGTGTGTGTGTGTGTGTGTGTGTGTGTGTGTGTGTGTGTGTGTGTGTGTGTGTGTGTGTGTGTGTGTGTGTGTGTGTGTGTGTGTGTGTGAGAGAGAGAGAGAGAGAGAGAGAGAGAGGGCAGTCTGCTCAGACTGACACACTCTTCTCACCATTTTTTTTTTTCTTCTGGCCCTTACCAATTCCTGAACTGGTTTTCATTCCTGACCCATCAAAACACTGGCCACGAATGAAAACCCCTCCAACGATGAGAAAGAATACCTAGCACAGTTGACGGCCAATGAGAGGGTGAGAAAGATCTACCCTCCTACTGTTTGCACGACAACAAAATAGGATCGTCCAATCCGTTTGCTATCTGCGGCTGAAAAGAGTGTCACACACACGGACGGTCCTCATTCCTACACTTTTCTGACCGCTAGTGGGACTTGGCCCCAGGTTGTTGTAGAGGTCGGATTCTGGACATATGACAGTCACCTTCGACACGCGGCCATGCGGTTTATCAGACAGTCGATAGAGGCCCCCTGAGACTCCCTCCCAACCTTCCACTCTCGTAATTTCTCCCTGGCGCATCCCTACTTCTACGATTCTAGGGTACATTGGACTCTGGTTAGCCCTGGTACCTGCAACTGCTGTCCGGTCAAGGTCGCCCCTGAGTGGGTGATAGTCCTGAGTGGTGGACCTTTTTTATTTTTATTTTGGTAGAGGCCAGTTACTAGGCACACATTGATCGCCGGAAGCGGTCAGCCGTGGTCGCTCTGAGGTGAGGCCACCACCCATCCCATCCTCACGTCAATACTCCTACCGCATCCCCTATCCCTACTATCTTGGACCGAACAGTAGTGACAGGCACCAGGGCTAGCGACCCAGCCCTGATTGAAGCATAGTCGAACGAGCCTCGTCGTACGGGAACTTCGGACGCCAGGCTCAAGCAATCACCTATTGGGCCCTAAATTGACCAACTAGTAACTCACGCCTCTACTCTCCCACCACAGACCTAGCTGTATATTTAATGCGGGGTACTTATCATCGAGACGCCTATCATCATCACCAGTCAGAACCCAGCAGACCAACCAGTGACCCACGCCCTCTACTCTCCCACCACAGACCCTAGCTGTATTTTTAAGGCGGCGTAGTTATCATCGAGACGCTTATCATCATTATCAGTTGATCGGAACCTCCTCCCAACCCTATGGTTGTGTATGTGCCAACCCTATGGTTGTGTTTGTGTGTATGTACTCTGTATCATAGATGTGCGCCCGTGGGCTATATGTATGGTTTTGTATGCTGCTCCCCACCATGGAGCATCTGCGAAGTGAGTACTCAGTACTGGTGAGAGGTGCTCTCATCACCTCCACTAGTACATGTATGTGTGTGTGTACCTTGAGCTATATATATGTATGTGTAGTATGTGTGTATGGATTGTGCTATCTGGGGTAGTATCTCATTGTGTGTGTATGTGGTAGAGACAGGTCTATCTGGACAGGACCCCCCAAAGTCCGGAACCGGACTCGAACCAGTGACCCACAGTATGAAACTGGAGGGTTCTACCACTTGCACCACCGTGGGAAGTGGATATAATGTGTGTAGTGTCTGGACTGGGGGAGATCATCAGAGCAACCAAAGCCAACAACAACCAGCAACCAACGTGAAGACTAGACCAGCATACAACACCCATAGACTGACCGTTCTCCATCAGGGTGGTTGGCGCTGGCCTTTGGGAGGCTGTTCTGACATAGCGCTACTAACTGGGTGTAGGATAGGGAGTGGGGTGTGAGTTCTGAGTGTGGCGAGATACTGGAACAAACTCTGTTACGATAAATGTGTGAGTGGTTCATCTTCAGTGACAGTTTCAATTGTGATCTTCGCAGGTTCTTTCTTGTGATTGGTTGTTGGGAGTTGTGTCAGAGAGTGAGAAACACGGTGTGTCTTCTCCCCTGCTGTGCATGATTGTCTTCCGCTGTTTATCATCTCCTGTGTGTAGTGTGGACTTTGTCTCCTCTCTCCCCTTCTCTTATGCATGTATGGGCATGTATGAGACTGTCTGTGTTTGAGTGGCGAGGAAATTCGTCAGACAACCAAGATCATAACATCCGTCTCGCGACGGTGTGGTCCAGCTGCCGAAGGCGGGAAAATCTGAAAGGGGCTGGCGGCGGGACGAAAAAAAGAAACTTAAAAAGCAATGGACATCCCAGTTCGAAAATCAAATTTTGAATTGGGTGTTGGGCGTGACGATGCCGACGATGCATGCCTTCGCCGCGCCGATTATCGTGGATCCTTGAGCTCCGAGGGACCTCGCGAGGTCTCTTGCACTAGGGCACAAAATGGCTGGGCCACAAGGACGCTACAAGGATTCCTTGAGGAAATGTTTTCACTTTTGTTCCCAATTTCTTCCCCGAGGGATAGATGGAACGATCACGTCCTTGTAGATTTTACATGCCCGAGGAGTGTCTAACGAGCCCCATACTCACACAAGGAGTTTCCTGGATGTATCTGACGGCATGTCTGCCCAGATCTGAGCTGGAGTCCTAGTGTGTGACTCTGTGTGAGTATGCCCTGAGACTCAGGACATCCATTGAAGTCCTTCGGGACATCCGTCAGTTGAAATTGGAACGATACAGAGAAGATTAGCATGGCCCCTGCTGTCCAGTTGATGTAGCTCAGTGGTTAGAGCACTGGTTGGAAATGCGCGTTGTGGTATGAGGTTGTGGGTTCAAAACTCCGCAGCCTTGCGCATGGACACCGGCAGGGCGTTAGAATGACGCACGGCTGGACACACACTCCCCTGGGCTGACGCATGGTACTATTACAGACAATGTGCGATGAAGTTTTCAGTGCCGCTGAACAACTCTGACGAAGGAACAGGCAGCTATGGCTGCCACCACCCACGAACCACTCAGTGTAGAGCCTCGAAGTAGCCCGGCCATACGCAGATACCCCCAGGGGTAGATGCACTGAGGATGCCCCAGCTGTGGCAAGCTCAGAGAGGGTCGGCTATGGCTGCTGTTGCGGTCTGTCTCAGGATGCCGCCGGTAGACAGGTACCGCCACCAACTCGCTTGGCTTCTCCAACCCTGCTCGCGAGAAAATGAACTGCCAAAAGTCCTGAACCGGTGACCCTAACCAAACTATAGACTCTCTAGACCTGGACCGGACTGACTGACCGACCGGTACCGTTGCTGTTTCGGCCTCTCGGCCTCTACCGGACCCGGCTATAGGCTATAGGACCGTCTAGCAGCATAGGCCGCTTAGGGCCTGTCTGTCCTAGGAGTAGCCCGGGCCTGCTATCAGCAGTTAGGGTAGCTGTAGGAATTCAGGTTAGTATTGGGCCTATATTTTCCCAGATTTACAGATCCGTCCCTCAAGAATTTCCCTACAGGCAGGTCTCTCGGTTAGCCCTCAGCCAAACAAAATTACGAATCTAACCTACCGGGTTAGTGTACAGCCTCGCTGTTAATCTCGGCAGCAGAAATCAGCAAGTCATTGCACGGACATCACCCAGTGGACCAAGGCATTGCCCCCCCCGCGACCAACTATAATATTATGAAAATGGCCGTGCGGGGCCAAAAGGAATCATCCTCAGGAGACCACCCCGAGGGTAGGTGGAACGACAACAGAAATTTCCTTCAAAATCCCGAAGGAAACGTCCTTCGTCCCCGAAGACGCCACAAGGAGTGTCTAACGAGCCCCTATGCCCTCTTCCCATGGGATCCTTAACCATGCCTTCGTCTTTCTTTTTCGTTTTCTTTTTCTTTTTCTTTTTTTCTCCTCTGCCCCCCCCCCCCCCCCCCCCCCCCCGGGAAAAGACAACCTACTGCGCTGCTGGGGGTGCTGCTAGAGGGTCCCCCGCAACCTCCCCCTGCCCCTAATTGTCTTATTTTATTGGAGAGAGGTTTTGGAAAAAAATGCTTCTTGTGGAAAAAAAACAAAACAAATGTTACCTTTGCCATTTCAGCATACTGATCCATCTTCTCAGCCTCTCCATATGTCCGGAATGCAAGCACTTGCTCACGGTACCTGCAGATTTTGAAGGAGGACACCAAAAGAGATCGAGAGGAGATTTTCAAAATTCAGTCAAAATTTCAGACGCGACAAAGAGGGATTTGCAGGGGTGCTCGTATCAACTCCGATGGTGGCCTTCCCCCCGTGTGGATGTTCCTCAAAAAAAAGTAAAGGATTTGCAATTTTGCATACCTGTCCTATCTGTAACTAACGACAATTACACGGAAAAAAAAAATAAAAAAAAATTCAGCCGGTTTTGGATGTAATCGAGGGAAGATGAGTCGAAAAGTCCGGATGTAAGTACGCCCCCTCAAGCACTCTAATCTCAGTTCGAGTCCGTACAACTGTCTTGTGGTTAAGGGCAGCGTTCTTGGGTGCCTATGTGCGTTGGCATGACTCACACTAGGACTTTTTCAACTAAGCACTGGAGTGACTGAACATCATTGTGGCCAACTTCATCCAGGTGCGGCTTTAATTGCAGTTCGATACGTTTAGGAAATGCTAGTGTGAGTACGGCCTCATTGTGGTCGGGTTTGCAGTATGTTGGCGTTGGAGGCGGTACGTACTGGCACTTTCGAACACCACACAGCTTGTATCATCTGTATGCTCTATTATGACCGCAGTTTTTTGTGTGTGCTGTGGTTACTGCGGTCTCGAACATCCGTGTGCTGTGACTGCTTCGAGGTGTTTTGTGATTCTCTCTCTCTCTCTCTCTCTCTCTCTCTCTCTCTCTCTCTCTCTCTCTCTCTCTCTCTCATAAATATCGTGTGGTCCGATGGACCACGGATCAGATATTAAACTGATCAGAACAGATACAGTGCACTTGATCTTACTTAGCCAAAAGGCCAACAAAAGGTATTCTCTCTCTCTCTCTCTCTCTCTCTCTCACACACACACACACACACACACACACTTGGCAAATGTGAAAAGTGGTAAAAAAAGGAACACAAAGTGCTGAGTGTGTAATAACCCTGTTCAGCAGTCGACCTGGGGCCCAAACCTTAGCCCCAGGCCACGCAGTCTGTGGAAGACTGCGCCGGGCTGTGTAACCAACACATGCCCCGGCCTGAGTAAACTGCGTACGGCTGTGGGACCAAACGCCAAGACTTAGGAAAATCAAAGGTCAAAGTCAACTGTCAGTCAAAGTACCATGCCAGGTCTTGGATCAGATTCATTCACTTGTTGAGTGCA